ACTAAAAGTAGTGGACCACAGAGTCACGCTGCTATAGGCTGGCTAAAAACAGACTTTTACCCTTCGTCCTAGACGAAGGGTAAAAGTTTGAGATAGAGTGTGTATTGTGGGCCCCAGAGGGTAAAGTGGAAATGACTTTGTCTTTGACAGCAAAGTGCTGTTGAACAGCCTGAGGCTTCTTCCTTTTCCCATCTATCTCTGGGCTGCTCCTCTCTCTCTCCCTCGCTCTCTCTCTCATTCATCTTCCGTTTCAGCTCAGTTGTGTTGCACATCAGAGGACAATAGGAAAACAGTATGATTAAGAAACTGGCAGAGCAATAAACAGGAAGGGATGAAAAAATATATAAATAAAATACTGAACTGCTTTCATAGATCAAGTCTTTTAAAGGGGACATATGCTCATTTTCATACTTGTATTTTGGGTTTCTACAAGAACATGTTTATATTGTTTGTCTGAATATACGTACCTGTATTCACCCTGTCTGACACACTCCGTGTTATGCGCCTGTCTCTTTAAGAAAAATATTGCTTACCTTTGCAAAGGTAGTTTTCCAGCTGTGGTTGGAGATACTCAGATGGGGGAGGTGGTCACATTCTAATGAGCCTGCGTGTGACATAGGAAGGGGAGCCAAATAGACTTTGGATGTTTTCTGATCTACACAGCCCACAACAAACTGGCAAAACTGCCAATACCCAAATATATATTCACGTGCACTTAAAATAGTGATTTTTCATATGTAAGAATTATATATGTTTGGATTGAATTTAGTCTGTGGCCAGTGCAAGAAATGGGCAGCTCCCAGTTTCAAAATAATGTCTCACATTGTTTTTCCTGGTTAAATTAAGAATTAAATGCATTTAAATGACAATATTTCAGTGTGAAGTGTGTCCTTCTTATGGGTTCAAATATTGCAGTTAAAATGCTGTTGAAACAGCAAAAATATGTCATCCACACATGTAAAAATCACAGTTACAGGCTCTTCTTCTACCTCTTTTACACGTGAAGGTTGGTTTACTGGTTTACATAGTTGATCATGCTGACCCTATTGGTTGCATTATATAAATGGGATCTGGTGTTTTAGGAGCTTGACCCACTCCAGCGACTAAAAGTATCGCGGCCTCTGCTACACAGATTTTTACCTTTATGTAAAATAAATATATATATTGTAAACCAGATTTTTCTCAATTGTCAAAAGTTTAACGGGTAAAATCTTTTCTTTGAGTGTTTCAGGAATGTTCTCACAATGTGGGAATAAAAGAAAGACGGTCTGTGAACCTTCACGAGCCTAACGTTACCATCACCCATTGGGAACGTTAGGGGAACATACTGGGAGCCAAAGACTACTCACTGGCTCCCTTATTCCCCCCTCGTTCACACCCCAAACTATATCTCTCTCTCCCCCTCACTAATTACTACAACCTGTCAGCCTCTGCCGGTTGCCACGGCAACCGGCCGTCGCCACGGCAACCCTAGTGGTCTGTCTGGCTCGGTGAGGCGGGTGTGTTATCAGGCGGGGAGGTGAGATAAGAGAGTTAATTTCTGCTTTAGTTGATAAAAGAGTAGCTGGTCTCCGTCGGTGAACCACTGGAACCACAGGGAAACGGGCAGAGACACGTAGAGGCCCGGGCTTACTGAACTTCTGATGTGAATGTTTCTTTCAAAATCATTTTAAGAGCTTTACCAAGCAAGAACACCCAACATTCCCTGCTTTTAGCATCTCAAATGTGAGATTTTAAACTACCTACTCTGATGTCCTTAATCTGCATCTTGACATTCCCCAAGTCTTTTATTTTGAAGTAACCACTTCCTTAAGCCGCATCATTGCACTGAACATGCAGAGCAGCATACTTGGGACAAGGGAGAGGAGGAGGAGACGAGAGTTGCTCAGTTTTACACCAGCACTGATCTAGAAACTATGTTTCATGGTCCTGGATGAGCGGTCTGAGAGAACCTCGACACTTCAGTCTACATTTTGTTGGAGGAAGATTGCTGAGAATATAAACCCATTGGATGATAGGCAGTCTTCCAGGGAGACAAAGAACTTCTTGAAAGAAAACTCTGGATTATGTTCCACCAAGCCTTTGGAGAGGAAAACCTGGCCAGGGACCAGAGCCCATAACTGAATTGGTCTGGGCCCCGAAGTGTTTATTAGTTAAAAAAAAAAAAGCTCCACCAAAACAAGTGACTGACTTTTCAAATTCAGTCCTCCAGTGTAGCTTTATTGCAATTTTTATTAACATCAGCTTTCATATAAAAAGATGCGTCTAAATCTTTGGGAGAACAAACGAATACAAATGTTAAATTCTTTAAAATCGTTGACTGCAAAGAACGTTGTACACTGAAAACCTAATCGAACCAACAATCAAAACAGCATTAAGTCACATTAACACTTATTTAAAAAAAAAAAAAAGGTACTGGTGGATATTCGACAGTCAGAAATGTCCGACCAACCTCACCGACACCCGCACTCGTCCACCACCATGTCCTGGTAATGCCGGAGCACCACGTTGTCGTTGTTGTCGTAGTAGAGCATGGAGATTGGGGAGAGGCGGACGGGCACGCAGCAGGGCTGTGGCGTGACTTCCGGGTCCAGGGAGTGCACCAGGGTCTGCAGGATGGCGTGGTTGGTGCCGTTCAGGCTCTCGCTGAGCGGGAACGGGCACTCGCCGTGGCAGTAGTTGGCCATGTAGCCCTGCGGGGCGATGATCCAGTCCTGCCAGCCCACGTCCTTGAAATCGATGTAGAGGCGGCGGGCCTTGCACACGTTGCTGGGCGTCACGGGGAGGTGGACAGCGCTTCGCCGCTGTCTGGAGCGACACTGGTGGGGGTTGAGGGACACGGCCACCAGCGAGGCCTGGACCAGAGGCAGGGTGAAGGCCGGCTCCAACGGGAGGGAGTTCCCGGGGTGAAAGGGAAGCAGCTCCTCCGGATCGACGTCGAGAGGCAGCAGCTCCAGGAGCAAGCCGTAGTTGCGTCCCGGTTTGCGCCAGCTCTCCGCCAGCGGGGTGAGGTCCATGGCGACGGAGGTGGGCTCGGTCTGCAGCCTCAGCGACTGGGACAGCAGGAGCCTGCGGCCGGCCTGGGGGTTGGCTCCCCTCAGCGTGGCCCGGATCACTTTATACAGAGACACGCTGAGGGCCCGGGGCCCCTGCAGGAGCTTCCAGTGGAACGTGATTTCCAGCTGAGCCAGAGACAGCAGCTCCACAGGCTGCAGGACGGACATGTTGAAGTAAAGCTGCTTCTCCAGACAGGCCTGACAGCTGCTGCTCCAGCCAGACACCAGCCTGCCTGCAAAAACACGGGTGGGGGGTGGAGAAGAAGAATTAAGCAGTAGGCTACAACTAAGACACATGTGCAGTATGATTTATTGCTAAAACCTTAAAATAACAAGCCTTTTGTTGTCTGTTGTAACACTTTGACCAATAAATAATAGTGCGTATTCTCTCTCACATCATTTTGGCAACTATAGTTGGCCACGTACAGTTAAATCTTATACGATTACTGTACAACCGGCTCATTAAATGTAGAGGAATACGCAAGAACATGAGAAGTATAACTAAAACTCCACAAGGGATTTACTTCTGCAAACTAATTAATTTACTTTTTTTTATTTATTTATTCTAGTAATTTACTGAAACACAGTACCCTCACACTACATGTACAAACGATCTACCTGGGTCGTCAACATTTCTTAAAGTGACAATCCTTAACATTTCAATCCTGGTTGATTTTGAAAACAAAAGGAATTGTGCTCAGGGTTTAGCACTCTGGAGTCCACAATACAGCATTTTTTTGAGCAAAGTCTACACAGACGCCAAGTTCGTAATATACAATGCATATATAAATTGCAATACTTGCAAAAGAGTGCCACAGGCTCAAATCACCTTTGTGTTACCTCCCTTTGGCGACAGACAGGGATTTACATTTATTTAAATCTTGAAAGCTGTGCATGTTGATGCTGATACTTAAGTGCAGCTTCACACATGTGTAGGCCTACCATTTATTCAGCTTCTACTTAAATTCAATCATGCGTTTGGCGTACTGGTTGTTTAAATACGTTGTAAACAAAAAGAAAAATAATTTCTAACAAAAACTGCCATGTAAGCTCTACAGTGGACTGTATCTTAAATCAACAAATAAGCCCATATTTATTAGCTAAAGATGAAGTGTGTACATTTGAATTACTGTATATTAAAAGAATTAATTTAAAAAAAAACTTTATTTAAAAACGTTGATGGGTCAGATGTAGTGAGACACGGAACATCTTTGTGTTCTGCTTATGTGGAAGCCAATCAACATCACGCACGTGATCACCTACCTTGGTCTTGCACGTACCGGATGATGTTGCCTGGGACTCCGTACTCGGACACCGTGCAGGGGTCACTCTCCCGGGCCTGGTTGTTCTCCGACATCCGGAACATCCTCCAGATTTCCGAGGGGACGTGGCGCCGGTTCCCCGCGGGCCGAGGTCGCCCGGAGAGCCCCAGGGAGCCAAGGAACAGCCGCTCGTGGCCCCTCATTTCCTCCACTTGTGAGAGCGCGAACGAGCCGAGGAGACACGCCACCGCCAACAGCGCCATAGGCGTCTCGTTCGGACTCATGATTGTTTGTGGGCCCATTTCGGCTCTGGCGGCTCCTCACCTGAAATGTCTCCCCCCCCCCCCACAGAGAGCGGGGCGTTTGTTGTAACCTGTGAAACCTCCCGGTGTGCAGCTGCTTAATTATGCTAATGAGAAGCGGGCAGACATGCAGGAGATAAGGTGAAGGGGGGTGGGCAGACTGCTCTATGGGCAGGTCCTCAGATAGCAGCAAAAAAAAACACAGCATGGCATTTTAACATTGTTGAATAATGTTTCAATAATGAAATACATACACTTGTTTTGCTGTGTCCTAAAGTTTCTCTTCCGTTGGTGAATGTTCACTCGTCCTGCCCTTTGTCCCCAAATGACTCCTTAAAGGCCCCTTCAGTATCTTTACAACATATCATTGCGAGTTCACAACAGAAAGGTGTCACCTGAAAATAAGACACACCGTGTTTTTCATTACCTTAGAATGAACCATTTATATAGAGCTGCAGGAGCAATGTCATTTTTTGTCCAACCAGGAAGTTAGCGTCGCACTGGTTCCCTCGACAAAAAAAGATAAAGGGATTTTTCCACCGGATTTTGGATAATTGCAGAAAATAAGCTCTGCGGCAAACGCGTATGATACTTACACGCTTTGTTCAACAAGATAATATTCACAAATGAACACCACTTTCATGACTTTTGAAGTTGGAAATGCAATCGGCAGAAGTAAAGCGCGGGCGCACACACACACACACTTTATTCTTTGGTTGTGAATGGACACCATGTAGCTTATTAGAAGTGTGCGGTGTCTTAACAGAAAAGGGTCTAGACAAACAGCTAGAGCAGAATGTTAAACAGATTCTTGAGTTTATTCAACAATATTTCAACCTAAAGCTGTGAGGCCTGCATGTGGTAGAAGCATTACTGCTGCTAGCTGTTCATGAGGTTCTTACGCCGCCTAGTGCCCATTTTAGGTACCTCCTTATTGTAATTCTACAAACTGAGCAGCCACACACCTGATCCAGTGTGTGTGTACTTGTATTATAATGTATATAAAGCAGTGATTCCTAACATGTTTGGCTTGGGACCTTCTATCGCAGTGTACAGTTTAGTATTCCCAGTGGTGGAAGAAGTATTCAGATCTTCTACTTAGGTAAAAGTACTAATACCACACTGTGAAAACACAAAAGTAAAAAAACCTTAGTCAAGTCAAAGTATATCACTAGTATCAGTGAAATGTACTTAAAAGTGTTCTGTGTGCAGTCAAAATTATGTTTCTGGATTAATATTACTGCTGCATTTGTTTAATCTACAGCAATGCATCACAGTCTATACGATCATCATATACTTGCAGCCTTGTAAAGTCAGGAGTGTAGGGGGGTGGATGCGTGTCAATAAATGACGTCTACTGCTCAGGTTTTTATATGCATGGGGGGGGGGGCACAACCGGGCCCAGCTGTGTCCAATGCCACGGATCAGTCCTCAATCAGGTCTGCAGCACTGGAGAAAGATAGAAGAACAGACAGAGCAGAGGAACCAAACAGTGCTTTGTCAGGTGATAGCATGTCTGTCTGACTGACTGACTGAGTTCATTCCAAGATGCAGAGTAAATAGATTATATGAAGTTACCTCTCATCTTGTGAGGAAAGAGTCTGAAGACGTTCAAATCAGGGAGTACAAAGTATAAAATAAATACACACAATTATACATCATATTTTTTGTCGTTTTCATGGTAACATGATATGTTGCAGCAAAGTGCTGTCCCATTCCTATTTACACCATTTCAAGCCCTCACAGTCTCTCACACTCAACCACTTACCAGGTGACGTCAGTAAGTCCTTGAGGGTTCAGGGTTTGAGGGTTTAGGGGGGACATTGGGATTTGGCCATTGTTTCCCCCCACTCTACGCCCCTGGCCCCAATTTGGCGGTGCAGCCGGTGGGATACCATCGCAAGATGGCCTCTAGTCCTGGCCCCCACGTTGGCAGCAACCGGCTTTAGTATCCAGCGTCCTGTCGTCAACCACAGACGGAATTTGCAGCAGATTCTTTAAATTGTTTTTCCAAAACTACATTTAAAATAATAAACATCTGTAGTTATTATCTTTATCAATTTTAAAGGGAACCAGAAATACATCCGTACTTACATAATGACATGTGGCTGCACATGGATAGTCTTTACTAAAACACCAGTAGTGTACGTGTCACAGACGGATACAATCCTCCCGCTGGGGAATGAAGTAGCAAAATTGAAACTTTGGTAAACTATTTTTAATTAATGTCCGTGAATGTGACACATTAAACAATCCCCTCTGTAACTGTAAAGTTATAAAAACAACAAACATCAAGTCAGTTCCAATGATTTTTTTTTAATATAGTTGGCAATCAAAGATGATTTGGATTTGAATCACTATTTACAAATCAGTATGTACAGTGGTCAAAGAAGAGCAGGAGGCTGTAGTTACACTGTGTGTGTGTGTGGGGGGGCGGGGGGGGGGCAGAAGTAGCTGACATTTATCCGCTCAAAGAAATGAACAAATGAATCCAATGACTCATTCCATTCATCTGTTCAACACCCAGAGCTCAGACATAAATATACACACACACTGTGTATGAACAATCCACTGATAAGTGTGAGACAATAATGTGCACTGGCTGATCTCAAACACTCAGACACACACACACACACACACACACACACACACACACACACACACACA